GGACAATTTCTATACACACACAAATCCACCTCCCCAGAGAAAGTTGCCCAGGTCGTCTTTCTGGCAGCCCTTCCCAAAGCCCCGTTGTGAGCTCTGCCTCTGCTCCCCGCTCCCGTCCACCACGGACGGCTCTCCGGTCCGATGGGATGCGCCGGGAGCTGGGTCGGGGAAGGCAGGCTCGTTTCCACTACTAAACAAAGGCTGGAAACGCACCAACAAAGGACCCGGCGCGGCCCCTCCGCCCGATGCGAGAGCCGCAGGTGAGGGCTGGGGCTTGCCCGGCCGGGCGCGGGGGGTCCTGCTCGCGGAGCAGTGCTTAAATCGGCGCGGGGCGAAGGCGCGGGTCTGCAGGGCTTCAGGAGAAACTGGTCGTAAGTTGATGGGGAAACTCTCTCCGCCCCATCCCCTCTTTGTGGGAAAGCCGTGAAAACGGGCCAATTCAATTCTCTCTCCTCCTGTCTCTTTCACAAAGAGGGGCTCGCTTATTCCCTTCCCCCGGCTAGGAGCCACCAAAGCCCAAGTTCGGCGCCTAATTAAAGAGTGGGAGGAAGACTCATTCCTCTTTAACATCAGCTGTTAATGGCCTCGGAGTATACTGCCTCTGAGGAGGAAGACACAGAGGAAGAGGCAAGGGGATGGAGGATGCGGGGAAATGGAGGGGCTGAAAGAAGTGGGGTGTCTCTAAGCGTGGTGGGGGAATAGAAGGAGAGATTAAAGGAAGGGGAGAATTTTAACTTATAAAAAGAAGGTGGAGGGGGCGGGGAAGGACTGAACTGTGAGCCGGCATCAAATCCCTTCAGATTCTCTGGCTGTCTCAGCTGGGCAGCTCGGGAGGGATGCGGAGTCGGAAGGCAACTGTGCGGGCGCGGGGGAGTGGCGCGCAGAGAGGAGAGAGGACGAGCGGATCCGGGATGGAGGGATGGACGGAGGGAGGGAGTATTTCCAAGCCCAGAGCGCTGTTCCCGGGTGCCTGCCTTGCCTTCTCTCTCGGACCCCGGTCTTTTCCCTCCTTCCTGTCCTCTCTGAGGTTTGCAAACCAAACGTCACCAATCAATACGAACCCCGGCTCTGTGGGTGCGTGTGTGGGTGTGTGTGCACGTGTGACCGTGTTTGTTGATCCTGACCTGCTGGACTTCAAAAATCTACCTCTTCCGACTCCCTCCCAGCCTGTAAGTTCAGAATTACAACCTTCTACATCTATGCAAACTTTTTTTTATAGGAGAATTCCTTTCTCTAGGAGAAAGAGAAATTGTCACCATGTGATCGGCTAATTTCTGACACACGGGGCTTTACCCCTCCCCCAGCGTGGGGAAGAAATATCTCCCCTGGATCTCTTTGAACTGTGCACAATCCATAACTTTGCAATGTATATATAGTGTTATTTCTGCGAGGCAGTTTTCCAGGGGTAGGGGAAGTGGTTGCATTTTGCCAAATGGATCCTTTGTGGTGAGTGCAGATTTATGCCCAGTTTTGATTTATAATTAAATTAGCTTCTAATTCGCAATATGTGTGTCTGTGTTTAAAACGTATCTAATCTGTGAAATTGAGGACGGGGGCACTTTAAATGAAAATCTACCTTTCGCCTCAAGGGTTTCTTTATGAAGGGATAGCCGGGAGGGCAGCGTGCAGCAGGAAAGTGAGGCTGTATTTTCCATTAGGAGATGTCAATCAATCCTTCTTTTCAATACATCAATTAATAAATCCGATTGGTGCTGCAGGCTGCTCCCCCCCGGGCACTGTTTCTGGCCGGATGGGGAAGTGTGAGGGGAAGGCGAACTTTGGCAGGGAAGTCCCCGCAGGCAGAGCCCGACCCGACCCGCCCCCTCCCCTTCTCCCCCGCTCCGGCCCTGCGCGGGGCTCCGGGACCGGCTCCATCCTTGGCGCGGCGCTGGGGGCGGCAGGCGAAGCCGGCGGGACTCTCCCCGTCGGCTCTTGGGGTCTGGCAGAGCTAAATTAACACAACTTGGTGAGATACGGTCGATTTTTTTCGACCCCACGGTGGGGGCGTGCACACGCGGTTAGATCCGGGTCCGGGACCCCCCGTCTTAGTTGATTTATATTTAGGCCTCACTTACTTAAACGACCCTCCCCTCACCGTCCCGCCCCACGCAGCTTTAACCCGGGCAATAACATCATCGGTTTGGTTGGTTATTTTCTAACAGAACCGCAGCACCTAGCTTTAATTTTTCACAATTAAAAGGGGGCCGGGACAGTGGGAACTCCTCCAGCCTGACAGCTCGCCCTAGCTGTCCCTGCTGTTAGCGTGCGCTCAGCACCTACAAATTAGCGGGGAAATGGGGGGAAAAGGTGGTGTTGTGTTTTGTTTTGTTTTGTTTTGTTTTGTTTTGTTTTCCTTACGGGCAAATGCAGTAATGCCGTGGTTTCTCTATAACTTAGCAATTACACAGATTCTCCTTTATTTTCAAGTGGCGCTGGTATTTCAGCAGAACATCACCGTGATGGGCAGGCGGGTGGAAGCCCGAGGACAGCCCAGCACAGGGTTGCCCGGTGCCCACATGAGGAAGGCTGTCCCAACGGGGACAGGACAGGTGTGTGGAAGTGGGACGGCGCCGGGACAGGGCGGCACCGAGGTCTTCCGGTTGGGTCTCTGCCCTCAGAACTTCACAGTGAGGAACACCCGACAAACTAATTCAATGTGTCGCCTCTCCCTGACAGCACACACACGGTATTTTATAGAAATCCGGCTACAGAAAGGGCTGACTTTCCTGAACCCACGACCGATGTAAAAAAGACACTTAGAGCGAGGGAGAGCATCCTCAAACTACTCCGCAGTCATTGTCATCATCAAGCTTGTCCATTTGATTTAAAAACACCATGATAAGGAGCACGCTCTCACTGAACGCTGTCTCTTCAGCTTTCTTCCC